ATAGTACAAAAATAACTTTACGAGTCTCTTGTTTTAAATGGTAAAATATAAGAGATATCATATTCGAAAGTAACTTTTTAGTATCGTAGTTTTTGATCCCTTAAAGTTAACTATTGCTATCTCTTAGATCCATAGATCACATCTAGCTAGAGAAATTATCAATTGGTGGTCAACTCACCTGCAATAGACTCAGCCAGAAAGAATCAATCTTTTTAAACATTGAGATCCTCTCAAGTTAGATTGGACTCCAAGGGAATTTTGGTACGTGGGTTTGGAGGAGTTTTGGATTTTGGGTTGGTGATTAAACTCCATTAAACCCATTTTTGATAACTATGTATTTAGTCCAGGGTTTGAAACCCGGCCTGGTTATAGTCCAGTCATGAAACTTACATACTTGGGTTTTATGAAACCTACATACTTAGGTTTCATGAAATCCAAGGGGGGGGGGTGTTTCATATGTATATTAATGGGTTTAACATATAAATAATATTTATACTCTCATATATTCTATATATTTCATATATACAAATTGGTTAAGGGGCACAATAGTCATTTACATACAAATATATTATCATAATAGTCATATAAACCCTGCGCATACTAAACATGGGTATGTACAACATTGAATATTGAATCCAATATTTGAATTTCATCTTTGGGTCAAATCCGGGTTTGGACAAACCAATCCAAACCCCCTTCCAAAAAACATACCAAACAGGTCTTAAGAGTATGAAGTTTTTCCATCACTATTACACGATGAGAGCCCAATGGGAAAGAATGGTGACACTACATCATCATTATCGCACAATATTACTATTTAATAGAAACATAATGAGTAAGCTACTAGATCAAAAACTATCCTTACATGTAATCTAATAGCGGTCCCATGTAAGGTAGTGAGGTTCACTTTACCTAATTTCTTTTGTTTCTATTAGACGGTGATACTACATAACGTGAAATTGATTCTTTTCGTCATCTTACCACGTGAAACAGGATTTTTCATAATTTTCTTTAACGAGTCTAATGATTTAACCTAACTATGAGAGGGATTATTTTAAAATTTTAGGTGCACTTGGAGAAATGACTATCCTTAGTATGATATGTGTAATTAATAAATAATATCGAATTAATTAATAAAGAGACGAAACTAATAACTGCCGTAATGAACTTATCAAGCTATTTGGGAGCTCTGTGTGTCAAGTCCTTGCATAATTTGTACAAAACTTTCGAAATTTCATGGTAGGTTGGACAATGTTGGACTGGTTAAGCATCTTTAACTAGTTGTTGTCTTCTCCAAGAAATTGTATGCTAGCAGAAGTTTCCTTGAAATTTCTATTCCATTCTAGAACCTCACATGACATGTCCCACTTTTCAAAATTTGGGCTGAAGGATAAAAGTTAAAATTTCACCCATAATAAAAATTAGGATTCTATTGTAGAAGCAGCAGTCAATTTTTGCAAAGAGTGTAACAACGAAAATGGATGATGAATGCTTGATCGAATTGATCAAGTCATGTAAGAACAAAGTCTATCGGTTTGTTAGAATGTCTCGGTTGCATACATTATTATATTTGCATTTGACACCTACTGTATTTGATAAATACCTCGTTGTGATTGTGACTTTCTCTTGACTTCTCAAAATTTCTCACCTACCATTACAATATTACTACCTTAACTCTGACTAACAGCTATCAATATTCCTCGTTTTGAGGTGCGATAAATGGTCAATTGTTTAGTTTCAAATTCAAAGATAAATAATACAACTTAAATTCCACAATGTAATTCTCATGGAACGATCAATACGGGTCTAAATTGACACAAAATGTCAATTTGGGTGACTGGATTAATGCTATATTAGGCCTTGTGGGTGTGAATGGATTAAATTTGAATTAAAACTCCCATCTGAGTTCGAATGTAATTAATTGTATGTTTATTAATATTTTAACTGATAAATTGATTTTTGAATTAAATTTGGTATATCATATTTTACTGATTTGGATGAATTATTGAACCAATTCGGATTTTCTATGTTTTTATATTATTATTATTATATGATAAAATTAAGTGATTCTTTGACAAATTTATTTCAAATCAAATTGATCATCTATTAATCCTGCTTAGTCAAATTAATTGAATTGCATTAAATTTTTTAATCAAATTTAAATCAAAAATTTTAAATTAGATCTACAAACCGACCAATCTTTGTAGTCCACAGGTCCAATATTATTTTATTGAAAAAATTTCAGTGACATATTTTTTAGTTTACTGTATTTTTAAGAAGATTCTTTTAATTATAACTCGTGCATGAAGACACAATGAAATATAAGATTTGAACGTTCAAAAAATTAATCCCACTATATCAAATGACAATTTTTTATTTCTTCATGTCTTTAAAAAATTGATCTCACTATATCAAATAATAATTTTTTATTTTTTTGTTTCTTTTATTATATCATTTAAAATTAATTTTTACCTATTATTTTTTTTAAATAATGTCAAATTTTTTCCAAAATGTATAACTCGACAAAATATTTTCAACATATGTACACTATCGTATATGGAAAATATATGAAATAAAAATTGTGTTAAATTATAAATTAATCAAATGTTAAATGATTGAATATGTAATAGAATTGAATTATATTATATTGTGTAAGGGGTAAAATGTATGGAGGAGAAATTTTCAAACTCCTATCTGTTTTATTATATAGATTAGAAAAATTTCAGTAATAAGTTTTTTGGTTTGTTATATCTTTAAGAACATTCCTCTATTATCAAAAATATTACTGACATTCCTTTTAATTTATATTTAAACATCACTAACACCCCCTGTCATTAAACCACCATTTATAACAAAAATAAATTATTTAAAATACCAAAATTACCCCTAGATAAATCTCAAATAAACTTTCTACATAAAATTTATTAAAATTTGAGTTGATTAAATTTTTTTTCTACATATTAAAATTTAAGTCGATTAAAATTTTATTCGAACTAATTAAATTTTATTTTTTTTACGTATTAAAATTCAAGTCTATTAAAAGCCTTTTTTTTACATATTAAATTTAAACTCTACTTGAGTTGTTAGTCCTAATTAAAGTTCGTTTCGAGTAGATTAAAATTTATATTTTTTATTTACTAAAATTTAATTTAAGTTGATTATAATTTGAGTTGATTAAAATTTATATTTTTTTTATGTATTAAAGTTTAATTTGATTCTCAAATAGAATTTTAATCGACTCAAATTTAATACGTAAAAAAATATAATTTTTAATCGACTCAAATTTTAATACATAAAAAATAAATTTTAAGAAATTCAAATTGAATTTTAATTGATCCGAATTTTAATAAGTAAAAAAAATTAGAAAATAAAAGGGGTCTCATTGAAGATATGTCTATTTAAAAGAGTTGTGGATGAAATTTTTTTAAAATATATCACGAATAATTTAGTAAAATTATATTATGATTAACACTTTTAATTTGATAAGGGGTGTTAATAAAATTTAAAAAATAGATCAAATATCTTTGAAGATATGAAAAATTAAAGAAATGTGACTAAAAGTTTTCTTATTCTTTTTTAAAAGGACAACTCTAGCACATGTGGCAGGCTGGTGCCCATGAGTTTCCAAATTTGTCTGTGTTACATTTTCACGATGGGTTAGACATAACTAAAAAATAGAACTACGATACGAAAAATATATTTTAATATTATATTATTTTTAGAAAAGATATTATTTTAAAAAAAATGACGAGATTCACACATTCGAATTTAAAATTTAATGGCAGAAACAGTAATTATTAGATAAATTGCTAAACTCTTAACACTCATCATGCAAAATTGGCTGATTAGAAAATTTTTACTATTTCTATAAAATAAATTGGCAACTCTATTTCATTTTTAGACCTATAAATGCAAATGGTTAGATTGCCATGGATGATGGATGGGTGGAGGTGGTGGGTTAGTCTAACACGTGGCAAATCGTAATTGTAGAAGAGAATGAAAGGGCCGAGTAAGATGGACGGTGGTGGTGGAATAATCATGGTGATAATAATGGTCGGTTCGCGTGATTTGTCACAACTCTCTTGTAAAACATTTGAATGGTGGGTCCAGGGCCAGTATATTCCATATACGTGGCACTAAGCCACTTCATTTTTTTTTTTTTTTTTTTATATATTACTGATTACTTAATAATTTGGAGTATCCTAAATGATAAAAACATGAAAAATATATGGAATAGATTCAATGGTCTCTATTGATTTAATATATCATTTGAGATCTCAAATTCGGGATTTGGAAAAATTAAACTAATTTTTGCAGCATGCCAATTCCAGGGGGACTTGATGCATGGCTTACTATAACCGGCTGGCCTGCCAGGCACTAATATTGGAACTCCCAACAATATTGCAACCGACTCTTTTTGTCATCATCAATATCCAGCAGTACCACTGATTTCTTTGGTGATCAGCATGAGTAACATGGGTTTTTCAATTGTATGTGTAGTAGCTATCTCACCAAATACACAATAAAAAGATTGGTCATTAAATAAATAGTGAGAAAGAGTATATTAAAAGTGGTTCTAAATCATCTATAAATCAACCGGTGTTTGGTCTAACGCTACTCTTTATCTTGTGAAAAATTTTATTTTTTTGAGGTTAAAGATTCAAGTTCGAAAAAAAAAAAATTATGTATAAGTTAAAATGACTTCTCTAGCATTTTTATGCAAACATTGGAAAATTAATTGGGTTTTGTTGGTTTGGTGAGATTTGTTTGTTTGTTTGTTTGTGTCATTACTCTATTATGATAGGTCGGCAAAAGTGATTATAAGAGTAATGTTATACTGACTAAATTTTAGAATTAAATTTGAAGTTTAAATGACATGGTAGTTCATTGATTAGTGTCATATCATTTGAGCCCAATAAAAACTTAAAATAATCACTTGTCATATCATTTAACCTTCAAATTTAATCCCAAAATTTTGAAGCGTCTTTCAAATTCTCCACCTCCCATAAATACCTGGTCACTCCTCTGCACTTCTTCCACAACAGATCACCCCCCCAAAATCATCTTTCTTACGCAAGTTCAGAAGAGTTGCAAATGGCTAAGGACATGGAGATTGGAGAGCAGGGTAGCGAGTATGCCGCCAAGGACTACCAAGACCCACCTCCAGAACCACTGTTTGATGCTGAAGAACTGACCAGGTGGTCCTTTTACAGGGCCATCATCGCTGAGTTCATTGCCACTCTCTTGTTCCTCTACATCACAGTTTTGACGGTGATAGGGTACAAAAGCCAGACTGACACTGACCCCACGATGAAGGGCGACGAGTGTGGCGGTGTTGGCATCCTCGGCATTGCCTGGGCCTTTGGTGGCATGATCTTCGTCCTCGTTTATTGCACTGCTGGCATTTCAGGTGAGTACATTACCACATCATATGGCTAAACTGTTCATTCATATTGTGTCGTATTCCGGACTTAGCACTAGAGATTCGTATTAAATACCAATCAAACTGTCATTCTGATCTCAGTTTAGGAGTTTTAGCAAACTGATGGTGGTTGTGTAAATATGTGCAGGAGGGCACATTAACCCGGCGGTGACATTCGGGCTTTTCTTGGCTCGGAAGGTCTCTCTGCTACGAGCCTTGATGTATATGGTGGCTCAGTGCTTGGGTGCCATATGTGGTTGTGGCTTGGTGAAGGCATTCCAGAAGGCTTACTACGTTAAGTACGGTGGTGGAGCTAACGAGCTCGCCGATGGGTACAGCACCCGCACCGGATTGGCAGCTGAGATCATTGGTACATTCGTCCTCGTTTACACTGTCTTCTCCGCCACAGATCCTAAGAGAAATGCCCGAGATTCACACGTACCTGTAAGTATCACTATCACCATTGCAGCTGTAATTTCGACGCTGACAAAGTTTTCATTGAACCAATTCGACACCAATTAAAAATTTTTGGGATTAAACTGACAAAACAAAAATAATGAAAGCTAAAATGAGGCAAATTGCATACTCAGCTACTTAAAAATTTATTGGTATTAATTAGTTCTCTTCACGTTTGAACTAAAGGTCTTGGCACCACTTCCAATTGGTTTCGCTGTGTTCATGGTTCACTTGGCCACTATCCCGATTACCGGCACAGGTATTAATCCTGCCCGGAGTTTTGGAGCTGCTGTGATCTACGGCAAGGACAAAGCCTGGAATGATCAAGTATGTATATACCAGCTTTATAATATATAGTACTAGAACTCCACTTACAAACAATTCTTTCTCTATGTTCAAATCCATCCAGCAGTACTCATGTAGAATTTGTTTTGATTTTGTATTTTCAGTGGATTTTCTGGGCTGGACCATTCATTGGTGCTGCCATAGCTGCATTCTACCACCAGTTCATTTTGAGGGCAGCAGCAGTTAAAGCTCTAGGGTCTTTCAGAAGCAGCACCTCCTAGTATATATGCATTATGCAAGCAGTGAGAATAATTATCTAGTCCTCTCATACTGTCTTTAAGACAGGAGTTTCGTGCATCACACACGGGATCGTCACTGGTGTTGGAGATATGGAATTTAGATTTGTATGGTCGGGAAAAATTGTATATAAGTTTTAGTGGGGAGGGAGGGTCTGGGTACCAGCAATGTTAGCATAGTGGTCTTGGCACTTGTTTTTAAGTGTGCCCAACTGTTGTCATTTTGTTTTCTCCTAGTCCTATTTTCCCTTTGGTTTGTTTTTTCCTTCTCTGCTTTTCTTTGTTGTGGGCAAGGTGTTTTTGATCTAATAATAACAAACCAGCAAGTGCTTTTCTGTTCCTACTATCCTTGCACACCCATAAGCCTCTCAATGGATTGAATTCCGATCCAAATCCGATTCTGATTATTAAGTAAAACAAAAGAAAATATATGGACTTCAAAGGTTATCAAGCCCATCTAATTGTGCCGTCTCTCTAACTTCCATATAATATAGGGGAGTTGTCTGCAACGGGTTGGATCGGGTCACATTGGCCTGATAAAAAAACACCTGGGCCAAAAATATTTTCTTTTCTTTTTTAATTTTTATTTCAAATTTCATATATAATCATATTTCTTTGAATTTTTTCTGATAGGCCAACTCATGTGCCTTAAACAATTGCCCATTGGGTCCAATGGGCCTCAAATACCACCAATACCAGGCAGTTGGCTGTGGGGCCAGGCCACTAGCAGTGGGCCGCCGTTGTTGTTGTATCAAAATGTAATATGACTGGACTGAAATTGCGTTGATAGAAAACTCTTCAACATGAATGTGTTGAAATTGCGTTGATCAAAAACTCTTCAACATGAATGTGTTGCCCTCTAATCTCAAAGAAGCCGCCTTGGCAGTAAACCAATGAACTCATTGTCATGGTCGTAGAGCCACTTGCATATGCATGAAGAGTTGACAAATCAAGCAATTATTTGTTTTATAGCATATTGTATTCTACTACCACTATTATGGCGTAATTTTAAATGAGCTATATCAAGTAATACTAAGTTGACCGTCCTATTTGAAATTTTATCTTCAATAAATATTTCAGATACTCAATTCACACGGATTGATTCCTTCGAACAAGGGTCGATTTGTGAACCGCACGCTTTGAGTTCGAAACAATATGACTGCATTAAACTCGAGTCTAATGGATTACAAGTGATTACATTCATTGGAGATTTATTTTGTACCCATAAGTCTAAAGTAGACGTGTTTGAAATGATTTTTCGTTACAAAAAAAAAAAAGAAACTTGTCCTTTTCCACTTACAAGAAGTTACGGTGTTGCAGTGCAGAGAAATAGACCTGAGAATCGTCCAAGAAAGCTCTTCAAGTTTGAACATAATCCATAAAGTCTGTACACTGCCCCCACCAGCCATTCTCACTTTAAGCATTACATAGTATGTGAAATTAGTGAATGTTTGGTCAAATGCAATGCGGATGGGTACTTTAGAATCACAAAATCATGATTTGAATTGCTTCATTTTCTTGATTAAAAAAATAAAAAATTTGATTCATTTTCAAGAGAAATACAATTGACAGGAGTATCTGTCTGTAACTCTACTTCAGTTCTATTAGCATCAACAAATAAAGTTGTCTCTTACTATTCAAATGGTCTTCTTTGGTCCAAGCTAGCCTCAACAGCCATCGCCCGGCCGCTCTATATTTTCATACCGGCGGATGCCTAGGAAAAAAAGCTACTTTTTCGGGAAGAGTTCTTCTGGCCTATTTTAACATCCATTAGATCGGCAACAAGTCCAGGTTGTGAAACCTTGACGTTTTGGATGTCAATCACATTTGTCAACATCTTGATGGCTGTGGACATGGGAGGGCAGAGCTTGGTGTTCTCTTGCACACAGAGCAGGCCAATTTTTAAGAATCGGACCGCTTCTTCTATTGGAAAATCTCCTTTTAGTACAGGGTCCACTAGCTGCAAGAGGTTGTCGGCGTTGTACATCTCCCATGCCTGCACATAATTAAATGTGCACAAACGAAGTCATTGTCTACTATATGGAACCAAGCAAAGCTAACAATATGATCAATTGAAAGTCACATTATCCCACATTGGTATGCATTTTTTACAGTCAATCTAGTATCTGTAAGAAATTTTAATGATTCGTATATAAAATTTCGAACACCTAAATTATAAAATTTGGATCATATAAGTTTAGAACATACATGTATGAGTCATGTTATTCGATCTCTGAATTTCTTTCATGAAAGGGTAATGTATTCTTTTCCTTCTTCAAAACAATAGGTGACTCTCAGTGGGACAAGCCTATTTAGGTTTATGAAGTATAAAGGGGACCTAACCTGCTATTTATAATTAAATCTAATGAGCTCTTCTATTACGGACCACAATTAGATTAAGGCATATACTTAACCGTGTCAACCATATCAATTAAAGGATGTACACAAACCCATCAAAATAGACCACTTAATAATATTGAGTTCTTCTCATTGGACCATAAATTCAACCCGTTTTGCACAAATTAGAAATTAACTGTCAATTAATGGAAGTAGAATGTAGAAAAAAATTCTAATATTCTCTCACTTAGACAACATTAATTGTAATCAGTTAAAAATAAAATAAAATAATATATATTTGACAAATGAATCTCAGGCTAATCAAATAAAACTCAATGTGGCCGCAATAAAAAATAATATGTTCCTAAGACAACATCTCAAACACAACCCGGTCTAATAAAACTATTATTTTCGAACCATGACAATCTTTACATCCTTTATTGATATATGACACATCTATGATTATAAAAAATAATAATCATATTGACATGAATCAAGATTTGGTAGTGTAACCATAAAATAACATCTCAATATGTGATCTAATAAATATGTTATTTTCATTGTCAGTCCTCCTAATGATTTCTCTTTAACAACATGCTTCAACAATAAATTAGAGAAATCCATTAACTTTAACAATAAGCTAGTATGTCTCTAAACTTCAAATCACAAGATTTTCTCAAATTGTGTAATCAGATATATACTCAATTGATAAAACATTTATATTTAAGATATACACTAAATCTTAAGATTTTGTATAAAATGATATGTCATAAATGTGCACACCTATAACATAGCAAAGAATATCATGCTAATAATAAGAATAATCATCCAAATATTTATTATTCATCAAATAGATGTATCTCAACCATAATAAGTATCAAATATCACATATGAAATTAAATCAATACTAAAGTTCTTAACACATAAAAAACTCTCACTAACCAAGTACATCAAAAGACCCAAAATGCTCATGTTACCAACATATTTTTTAAAAGTTACAGATCTCACTCCCTTGGTTAAAGGATCAGGAAGCATTGATTCTGTATCAATATGTTCAATCACAATATCACATTTCTTCACAAGATCCCTAACAGAAAGATATTTAATTTTCATATGTTTAGATCTACTAGAATGTTTGTTGTTCTTTGAAAAGAACATAACTGCACTATTATCACAATAAATTGTTAGTGGTCTAGAGATGGAACCAACAATCATAAATTCTGAAATAAAATTTCTTAACCATATAACTTATGTTGCAGCTCCATAACAAGCTACAAATTCAGCTTATATAGTGGAAGAAGTTGTGAGAGTTTGTTTAACTCTCTTCAATGCTATTACTCCTTTAGCTAACATGAAAATATATCCTAAGTGGATTTTAAATCATCCTGACACCCAGCAAAATTTGAATCTGAGTAACCGATCACTTCAAGACTATCAGCTCTCCTATAAACCAGAATGTAATTTTTGGTTCTTTGCAAGTATCTCATAACTTTCTTAACTGTCACCCAATAATCAAATCTTAGTTTGGAAAGATATTTGTCAAGAGCACTAATTGCAAAAGCAATATCAGGCCTGGTACAAACCTGTGCATACATTAAACTGTCAACAACACTTGTATAAGGTATATTCTTCATATACTTCTCTTCAAGATCATTCTTGGGACATTGACTTAAACTGAATTTATTACCTTTCACAACAAGTACATCCCCAAATTTACAATTTACATATTAAATCTTTTAAGTACACAATCTATATATGCCCTTTGAGAAAGTTCCAATAATCTACGACTCCAATCTCGATGAATTTGAATGTCTAACACAAAAGATACTTCCTCAAGATCTTTCATGTTAAATATTTTGCACAACAATTGTTTGATCTCATGAAGTAAACTCAAATCACTACTTGCAAACAAAATATCATTAACATAGAGAATAAGAAAAATAAATTTTCTCCCACTAGCCTTAAGATATATACATTAATCCATCTTGTTCTCAACAAAACTAAGAGAACTTACTATCTCATCTTTCATGACACTTATCCACATATTAGACTGAAAAGTAATATCATCATAGTATGTTACATGATTAACAATATCACCAATATCATAATCATTTTCTCTAAGGTATACATAATATTCATAAAAAATAACAGGTTTCCTTAGTCTTGTATACATTCATAAGAAAATTTCAATAGTAGGCTCTAAACGCTGAGGAATCTCAATAGGAATCGAAGGTTTAATTACAGGAACAAGAGAATCAACAACTGGAGCAGGAAAATTAACAACATGAGCATGTATAATATTCTCTTGTACAACAGGTAAAAAAATTGAAATAAATTTATCTTACCCATTCTCATTAATAGGTTGTGAGCAATCAATATCAGTAACATCAAGCTCCAAATATTTTGCTGCTAAGGATTCAACAATTTTAGTACCACATGCAGGACAATGGAACCGATATCCTTTAGAATGTTCTGGGTAACCTGTGAAGAAACAACGAATAGTTCTAGAATCAGTCTTTTTCTCAAAAAGGTTATAGATTGACTTTAGTAGGACAACCTCAGACTTGAAAATAATTAAGGCTTGGTTTCCTATTGGTTCATAATTCAAAAGGTGTTTTTAGAACAGATTTTCTATGAACTCTATTAAGAATGTATGAAGCCGTTTTAATGGCTTCTCCTCAAAGATAATCAGGTAAATTACACCTACTCATCATACTCCTCATCATGTCTTTAAGGGTGCGATTATGCTTTTCAGCCACATCATTTTATTCGAGACTACCAGACATGGTATATTGGGCAACAATCCTACAATCTTACAAGTATTTGACAAACGGTTCCAAATGCTGCCTAAACACGTAATGTTTGCCGTAATACTCACCACTACGGTCAGACCTAACAATTTTGATGACTTTTCCCTAATTGTTTATAACCTCAGTCTTGAAAATTTTAAACTTTTTAAAAGCATCAGAGTTTTCATTAATTAAATAAATATATCTATAACGAG